TTTATTTACTGATTTAATTAGTTAACTATTTAAAACGCGAAAAAATTGTCTGTTCCTCGTATAAATGATTCGGCATAATTGATGATGATTGTTGACGATAAATGATAGTTTATTATATCGTACGAACTTAAAAGAAATGAACACGCTGATTACCTTAAAATATACGCTAGTATTTGGTGCTGTGGGATTAACATTCGAAGATCTTAATCTCACAGCATAATTTCCAGGTAATCCAAACAATTCGCATCGGAAAAATATAGTCTTTGTTGGTAAAAAGTCTCTTATTTCTTCGTAATATAATATCTGAAAATACAATATTACAATATTTATAAGTAACAATAGCTGTTTTAGTAATGATGCGACGATGATAATTTCTAATGCAATTTACTTGGATATAAGTATTATTCTGCAAATAACAGGCAGTTACGCTAGATCCACAGTATATCAATTGTAAAATATAAACAGCTACAGGAACATTATCAGATGGACTGCAATTTACTTCATTGTATCTTATCGTGACTTTGACAGGTTTGTCTGGATAGGTGGTGATTTGTTGAGATTCCAAGAATATCGTTGGTAGTGGCCACTTTACATCTAATATTTTACTCGTCTATAAAAATAAATATGTATACAATTAATACTTTTGATGCGAATATACTACGAACTATTGTCATTTATATGCGCAGAAGCTGTTTATAGTCTCCTCGGCAATTAATATCTTTCTTACAACAACCTGATGGAAAGCGGCAACAGGCACTGATGAATTTTCATATTTATATTCTATTCGTAGAGCGTAAACACCGCCACGGGTAAAATACCCGCAGGGTATAATAATTGAAATAGTTTCATTTCCCAAAGGCAGTTGTCTTAGTTGAATCTCGCCGATTAATTCTGATATGTCTTCAAGAAGGTACAGTACTCTGAAACCGATACAAGGTTCTTAAAGTTTGCAAATAGCAATACTTTCAATAGCTTGTCTATTAAAGGCGCTTACCTTAGCAGAAAAATTTGATTTGAAATATTTTTAAGCAGCTTAGCATCACTGTTCCCCTCGTCTTTGAATTCGTATTTGTACTTTGTTTTTCCTGCAGTTTCATTGGACTTTGCAACAGATATTGTAAGGTCTCCCGATAGGGCGACGTGAGAGGAAGGGGAATCAATTTTCAATAAAGTAAACTCGTCTTCTTCTTCTATCATCGATCTAGTGATATCTAAATTGTTTTTTTTTTTTTACTTTATTAGTCGTCTGATAATAAAGATTACGATAGACGATATTTTTTTATTTTAACATACGTGCTTTTTTTTGAACGTAAAAAAATAGATTTACCGAATTCAAGGAGGATGGTAATTAGTATTCCAAGGAAGAGCCATTTCAATTTCAAATTCATATCCAATTCGTCATCCGTGTTCAATTTCTAAATAATCGTAAATAAATAATTTAATAGTTAGTAAAATAACTCTTATATAACTTATATAATATATAATATAAATTAACTAATAAATGAATAATTTAACATCGAAATTTACAAGTTAGAAAATATTCTTATTTTGCTATGTCCTCGATAAATGTCGGACATTCTCAAATAATTTAAGAATAGATGTTAAATAATGAAAAGCCAAGTAACTTCTAATACTATAATCGATTACTTTCAATGTTTATATTGGCATTTATAAACTTACGATTGCCTTGTTTATCTCGACGCAAACATACTTGCTGGGGATAATTTCGCTCGTACTGAAAGCAGGAAAGTCATAAATGTGCTGTTGGTGGATGCACCACTGCAATTTACGAAGGAATCGATATCGAAGGACTTGCACCGTAAACTTTCACTCTTCACTTGTCCAAGAGTTTCTCATTTTCGTGGTTTAGGAAAAATGCTCGACGTACACCGTCTTTCGTTACCATTATCAAATGTTACACACTATTGACACATTGTGTAATTCCTCTTATTTATCCTTGAACTAAAATAATCACGATGGAATAAAAAAGTTCAACAATTATCATTACACTGTTCATATCATATAATTTATATTATAGTAGTTATATAGTAAAATTTATAATAGTTATATAGTAAAAGATATAGTATAATACTATAAGTAAAGATATAGTAATTATATAGTAAAAGATGTAGTATAGTACTATAAGTAAAGATATAGTAGTTATAGACTATATAGTAAAAGATGTAATATAGTACTATAAGTAAAGATATAGTAGTTATATGGTAAAAGATATAGTATACTATAAGTAAAGATATAGTAGTTATATGGTAAAAGATATAGTATACTATAAGTAAAGATATAGTAGTTATATAGTAAAAGATATAGTACAGTACTATAAGTAAAGATATAGTAGTTATATAGTAAAAGATATAGTATACTACTATAAGTAAAGATATAGTATACTACTATAAGTAAAGATATAGTAGTTATATAGTAAAAGATATAGTATTATAGTAAAAGAGTTTCAAAATGGATTTTAAGCACGATTATTTAATTTCAATTCATAAAAATTATAATTTAATTCATTTGTAAATTATAATTTGGACCAAAATTCTAAAAGATAATGAAAGACTCTATTATACAAGCAAATTGTTTAGAATGTTTGTTCAACATTATCTTGCAATTATACACGTACTCTAGAATTTAAAAAAGAATCGTATTATTTGAATGAAATATAAAATAACTATCTCATAGCAAAAGATCGATGTTTGAAAAGAATGCCGTATCTTATGAAATATAAAAATAAACATCGTGAAAAGTTGCAAACCGAAATAAAACAACGAACTGTTCGCGAATATATATTCTTCAGTAAAACATTTCTATATTTCACCTTTTCTATTTAAATGCTCGCACTGACATTCTCGTCGCACTGAAACGGTCGCTCACAGTTATTGTTATTACAAACGCAGAAAAGTGGGGTGGACTTAATAAAAGAAATATAAGGAGAATTTTAATTGAGAGAATGTAAGGGTAGAACGCGAACGACTTATATGCGGCTCGTAAGGCAACTAAATCGTCGGGGTCGACGGCCAGTGCTCCTCTCCCTTATTCACTGGCTCACCCCACTACGAAGGTCGTCCTTTAGGGAGAAAATTCTGACAGAACATCGACTTTAATCAATGGAGAGATTATATTGAATGTGCTCTCACAAAAGAACGCTGTTTTTCTTTTTTTTTTTTATTTTTCGAGAACTATTTTTGTTAAGTAATACATCTCCTTGGACATCTTTATTGCATAATAAAAATTGTTGGAGATACGTAGTATAGATAAAGTGACAAATTATTATTTTACTAACTTCTTTCTTCTGTTTTGTTATTACGTCGTGCACTTGCAGCATGTACATATAAAAATTGCAGAAAATATTAGAAAACTTTTAGCTACTTTAGCTACTCGATGTTTCCCCCCAATATTATTTTTGCTTCAATATAATATGTATATAAATAACAATTAATAAATAATAAATATAAATATTATTTGTACTTACACTTTCTAATACAATTTAGATGAATATATATTGAGATAAAGTATATTATTTAATTTATATTAGATATTATGTATATATTATTATATATATTATTATATATTATTATGTTATGTATATTATTAAAGTATAACATTTAAGTATATTTGTATAAATGTATAATAACACATATTGAATAAAGTTATATAAAATAGAAATAATTTCCTTATATATTATAATGTAAGATCATTTTAATTAAATTCAAATAATACAACTAATTTTTCAATGAATGCATTAATTAAAATATTTAAATATTAACGTAAAACAATAAGATTTGCACTTAAATATACTGCATGTTACATTATAAACATATACTTTATTGCAATAATGTAAAATATTAAAAATTCAAATAATTTTATCGTTTAACTTTATATTTAACAAAAGCTTTCTATTTATTCCAAAACATTTTATTTTATTTTCGGAAGTGTAGCCTTCATTTTTTGCTTTTTTTTTAAATTTTATTTACCTTCATTATTTTATAGTAAATATGTTAACTCAGTAAATGCATTTGTTTGTTAATCTATTTATCTATTAATTTAATAAATAAATAAATTTAATAATTAATTTAATAAATAATAAATTAATAAATAAATAATTTAAAAATGTATTCTCGAATAATGCAGTTTCAACTTTTATTAATAGAAGTATACTTATCTATACTGTAAATGATCACATTGCTAGAAATTAAATGTAACAAATATATATTTTTATCTTTCTTGATACTTTCGCCAAAATCTCACATAAATGATAAAACATTTCTACATTTCTTCGCATACAATTTTAATATTAATAATTAGTATAATCTTAAAATATGTAAACATATTTAATTTTCAATTAAATTATTTTTTCTTTTATTTTTTATTTATATTTATATTTATATTTATAGATCTTAGTATCATAATTACTTTACTTTCAGTGAAATTATTAATTAATAGTTATTACGGTAAAATTATTATTACCTCTCTGATTTAATTATTACAATGCATTAATTAAAAAAAAATATTAACGGCATATAAAATATTAATGGCAGCATATTATCTTTTAATCAATTTTTTAAAAAATTTATTCTATTCATTCTTTATTTCACATATTTACTTTAAAAATTTACTACACACATTACATATTTAATGATTTTTAAATATTAATGTCTATTATTATTTAAGTTATTATCAAACTCTACTTGAGTATGATAATTTTTCAATTTCCCTAAATATTTAAATATTCAAATATTTTTAATTTTTTATTGGCAAAAAACAGTGATCTATAATATTGTATGAATCATTATATATGTACATATATCTAGTGAAGTAACTAAAGAGATGATTTTATTTTTCCATTTTGTACAGTGAATTAAACAATATAAAAATACGGAGAAAATTTAATATAACTGATACAAAGATAATTGTAAAAATATTTAAAAAATTTTCGAGAAGTAATAAGTACTAACATTTACATGTTTAGGTTGGTAATTGGTAAGTAACCATCAAATGGTGTCTAACAAAATATAACCAACTGATATGATACTTAAGATTGAGTCATTGTGTCATAAATTATCATAATACATTTGATACAACAGCGTTAACATTGATTGTTATAATATTTTATATTGTTGACCATTTCAGAAAATTACGTTTCGTGTACTGTACAATATATATAAATATATAATAGAATTGATTGCTAAAAGGCAGCAAAATTGATGAAGTAAATCAAATGTCAAACAAAGTAAAGGAACATAAGGTTTCTATAATTTGAATAATTAGTGTTTACTAAAATTAAAGAAATAAAAAGAATTAATAAATGGATACTTAAAATACCTATAAATTATAAAATAAAATGGATGTACTTGCAAAGTTACGAAATACTGTTAGCAATACAATATCTAATACTGTTCAAAACACTGCTTATGGCCTGTCGCAGTTGTCAAATGTTCTTCCTGGTAATCCAGTAACCAGAGAGTTTGAAGTAACTGCTCATATAGCGAGTGCAGGACCATCGTTACTATGGAAGATTTACAACGGTTACAAGAAATCTACAAAACAAGAAGCAGCAATATTCGTGTTTGAGAAACGCATTTTGGATAAATTTTCAAGAAACGACAAAGAATTGATCTTAGAAACATTAAAAAGAGGTGTTGCACAATTGACGAAATTACGTCATCCACAAGTTTTAACTGTTCAACATCCTTTGGAGGAATCTAGAGACAGTTTGGCATTTGCAACTGAACCTGTATTAGCTAGTTTAGCCAATGTTTTGGGAAACCATAATAATTTACCACAGCCATTGCCAATAGCATTAAAGGATTACAAGTTACACGATGTTGAAATTAAATATGGACTTTTGCAACTTGGTGAAGGTCTGGCATTTTTACACGGAGATGTTAAATTATTACACAGAAATCTATGCCCAGAATCTATTGTTGTTAATAGTCACGGGGCATGGAAGATCTTTGGATTTGATTTTTGCGCTTTAAATCAAAGTGTTGAAGGCAAACAACCTCAATGGTCGTACGTAGAATATGATATATCAGCTCCATCTATAGCTCAACCAAATTTGGATTACCAAGCACCAGAATGTATTTTGGCAAGCAGTGTTGATACATCTAGTGATATATTTTCTTTGGGAATGGTAATATATATTTTACATTCTCCAAAGAATGTACTTATTCATGAATCTAACAATGACTTATTAAAATGCAAACAGTTCTTAGAGAATTTTAAAAGTTCGACTATCACAGATAAGTTTCTTCCAACTTCAGAGTGTCTTAGAGACACAGTTAAATTGATGTTACATCATAATCCTGAATTAAGACCAGATGCTCATCAATTTGTAAAGATTGACTACTTCACAGATATAGGTGTTAAAACCTTGAATTATTTAGACAAAATTTTCCAATGGGATAACTTACAGAAATCACAGTTTTACAAAGGATTACCTCAACTTTTAAAACAATTGCCACACAGAGTTGTGCTGCACAGAGTTCTCCCAGCTTTATATAAAGAATTATTTAATTCTCCAATGATTCCATTTGTTTTACCTAGCATAATCTATGCAATGGAAACAAGTTCTGTGGAAGAATTCAGAGAATATATTTTACCAAACATTAAATCAGTTTTAACATTAGATGATCCTCCACAAATTAGTCTTGTTTTAATGCAACATGCTGATTTATTATTAAAATTATGTACTACAGAAGTAATAAAAACAGATATAGTTCCAATGTTATTACGCGCTTTGGAATCAGAATGGGAACAGTTGCAAGAATTATGTTTATCAGCTTTACCTAATATTATAACAATGATTGAAGGACCAGTGATTAAAAATGCAATTTTACCTAGAATGAAAAAGATTTGTTTATATGGGAAAGGAAACAGCAGCAAAAGTCTTGGAGTTAGAGTTAACTGTTTATTATGTCTTGCAAAAATGTTACCACATTTTGATCGATGGCTTGTCCTTGATCAAGTATTACCTTTTCTACAAGAGATTCCACACTCTGGTGAACCTGCAATTCTTATGGCTATCATAGGTATCATATTTCATTAAAATATTAATATAATAATAAAAGTAGTTAAAGTTTATAAATTATAAATAACACAGATTAATTCATTCCTTACTAGGTATTTATAGAATGTTATTAAATCATAGTAAACTGGGAACAAGTAAAGAAATATTAGCAACAAAAATCTTACCATTTTTATTACCACTATGCGTTGAACAAAATTTTAGTCTACCGCAATATGAAATTCTTTCGAATCTTGTAACTGAAATGATAAACCGTGTAACATCAGAACACAAAGATGCTTTAAAACAATTAGATGCCATGCGTCGTGAGACTCAACAGTTAGATCAAGAACTTTCACAAACCTCTACCATGTATAAAAATATTAGTTCAAGTAACGATGATGGAAATATATTTTCTACAGTTCCTACTTCAAATACAAGCGCAACTTTGAAATCTCTACAAATTGAAAATGAACTGACAATGGAAGATAAATTTCGGTTAGTAATTATAAAAAATTGTTATTTATCTGTTATTAGATTTTAGAAATATATGATTTTACGATTGATCTTTCTATTTGTAGATTAGTTCAACAGCAAGGGATGCACCAAAGATTACAATCTCAAACACCATTAATACCAACAATTGTTCAACCTACAAAACCTCCAGTAAAAGATTTAACTGATACTTTATTAAAATCTAATTTAGATCAACTAAATCTTTCAATGGCAAGTTCAAAATCTGATTATTCATGGAAACCGCCAAATTCGAATCAGTATCAACACTTCAATCTGCAAGGAATGAATACACAATTAAATCAAATAGGAAATACTTATGTTCCCAATTCAGTCATTCCTCGTAACAGTATTAATTATTCTATGAATCAGGGGAACATAATGGCTAATAAGTTAGAATTTAGTTCAAATTCTATGAATCAAGGGAATATAATAGCTAATAAGTTAGAATTTAATTCAAATCTAAATTCTAATGTAAATAATTTTCCTATCAATCAGTTAGAATTTAATTCAAATTTGAATTCCGATTCAAATAAAAAAATAGAAAAAGTATCTTATGATGTAATGGATCTACTTAGTTAATAATTTTATTTATATAATGTATTATTATAATGTTTATTATTCCACATATAATGATAAAAACAGTCAATTTCATTTAATGTAGATATTACATTATAACAACATTGTTCTATTGTCTTTTAATTATATTTTATTTTTATTGTTGTGTATATAAATTAATTTTTTGTTATCGTTTAAAAATTTTTAAAAGAAAAATTGACTCTTAATGACAGATATTCTTTCATTAAATTTTGAAATATTGATATTATTATAATAACATACGTATAATATACTATTGAAATATATAATTAAGTATATAGAAAATTACAAAAAATATATAATTCACTACAATATGTATTTCTTTTTCATTGACTACATATCATTCACTTGTCTTATTGTTAGTGGCATTTTAATACAAAATTATGCTAGTATTTAAAAATAATTAAACAAAATAAGTGATATTTTCGGGAAGCAAAATTTTTGGTTCAAATTTGTTGTAAGGGACGCACCCCGTTACCTTGGGTTTACTACTGGGCCACTAAACAAAAAAGTAATGTGAGGGACGCATCCATTGGTAATACTGTTAGGCCCATAGAGTAATTGCGAATATTACTTTATGGGACTGACCTGCCTAAGGTGCATCTAGGCCAAAAATGACTTACTTTCCTAGTCACGTGATTGAGTGATTGGACAGGACACAAAGACAGTCGGCCTTATATAAGGCCGACACGGCATATAAGTTTTAATTTTTCCGCCGGTTCTATCTACAATCCGTACCGTGAGTATCTCCAAATTTGTCATTTCAGATTAATCAAAAATTCATGAAATTGGACGTTTCTAAATAATCGTAAAAAATTGATAAATTCTGTCCATATATGCTTATAATTGTGTATCAATAAAACCTTTTTTCTTTCAATTATGTGAATGATTTAAATTAACTGCTCGGCGATGAACATGTTAGCCATCCTTGCAGTAGTGTTATATTTTGCGAATATTTCGAAAACTGTTCATTTGTGAAAATTTGATTAAAATTGATTTTTCAGCTTCAGTAAAATACTCTTGAAATAACAAATTTAGATCAAAGGTTTTGTCTACGATATACTAATGTACTACGGTACAGCTCAGAATAATATGTAATTTTAGAAAAAAGATAATATTAGTAAAGAACATGTTTACTACCGAGTTTAAAACATGTCACGCAATTCTTAATATATCTTAATAAGTATTTAGATAATTATTTATAAGTTTGTGGATTGTATCAAAATCCTGACGGTTCAGTCAGTCGTGAAGCTGTTTACCCCAAACAAATGCCGATACTCCTCTTTAAAAAGAGCTGATTATTTTTTAAAATGACTATTTGAATTAGATTTTTTAAACTGACTACTGTAATTATTTAAATTGACTCACACCATTAGGGTCGTCCTTATTCCAAATAATTATCTCACTATTATTTCTGAACTTTCTCGTAAAATTTTGGATCTTAACTTTCTGAATTGACAAAAATTCTTCTCGCAAACATTGTATTTGTACAAAAAATGGTGTTGTCTATTTTCAAAATTTCAGCTAAATCGGGGATGATAAGTTTTCAAAAATTTCGCGTTACAAATTTTCACGAACATCTAAGGCAACATTGGGGAAAGTTGTTCACAATGACTTTGATAACATATTTTTCAAAATCAGTGAAGATAGCAAATTTTTAATTGGGCTGTTTAAAATAAATTGAAAATTACTACAACTTGTTATACGTTTTAAACGTAATAACGTACGAATTGAAATCAAACAAGTGTATTTGTGTTAAAAAAGTATACAATACGTTTTTAAATAGAGGGTGTTCCGTAAGGAATATAGGAGATGATTCTACGTGAGAATATGAGACAAGAAAGAATGAAATTTTTTCATTAAAGCCTTCGTTTTCGAAAAAATCAAATTTGAAAATTTCTCAGAAATACCTGAATTCAGCTAATTCTGGACATGACAGAAAAGAAGAATAATTAGAAGAAGGTCATTCTACTTGTAAAAATTAATAGAAAATGTAGAATAAAATTTTTTTGTTTCAAAGATATTTCGTTCTCGAGGAAATCAAGTTTGAAAATTTATCAAGTGCACATGTACCAAGGCGTTTCTCTAACGAAACACATTCAAAACATTTTCTTGAAAACCACTTTAAACAAAAAGATTTTATTCTACTCTTTTCACTTATTTTTGCGCCTAAGAGTGTCCTCGTGTCGATTACTTGGAATTAACTAAGTTCAAATATAGAAAATTACTCGAAATTAATTAAATTCAAATACTCGAGAAATTTTCAAACTCAATTTTTTTCGAAAATGAAGGTTTTAATGAAAAAATTTTATTGTTTCTTTTCGACTCATTTTTTCACATAAAATCACCTACTCGGTTGTAACACCAGTTACGGGATATTCTGTGTAAGAATGCAAATCCAGTATTAGTGAATGAAAGAGGTGAATAGGTGAACTCTCTGCCGTACAATGTGATTGTTTCTCACTCAACTGTTATATATGTATAATATGTGTGATTTTTCATACAAATATGATAAAAGTTACGTAGTATTTATCGTCGATCAACGTATCATAAATTAATTGTTCCGATCGAAACGCTATATATTCATTGATGAAATTAGTTTTTAATTTGTAGTAACACGCATATCTATTTATATATATGCTACGTGCATTTAATAGCACGTGTTAACGTCACTTTTGTTTTTTACGTATTTTTATTGTACAGTTAGATTTTCATTTTAATAATTATATTTCAAACCTACCTACAAATACTATTGCAACTGTTGACAAGAGTTTATAAATCCTGTTATAAAATGGTGTAATTTTACAATCTGAGATAAGGTTAGGTTAAAAGTTAAGTCAACAGTAAAGAACAGCCCATAAAATTTATATCTTTTAACGAAATGGTAAATGTGTAATATGTAATTCTTTTATTTCTATAGGCAATATATATGTATATTAATACAATTATATTAGTACTATGTTTCAATTTAGTACATGTTTGTTCAAATTCATTACTAAAAATATTCATATTATTAAAGCGCACAACAGATTACTGAGTGAATCTTCTGTGATAAATTTAGCAGTAATGCAACAAAAAAAAGAATTCAAGCATTTTAATGCATATTTGAAGGTATGTAAAATGCATATTTGAATGTACAAATGAAATTAATTATTTATTAAACTTTACAATGTGTGTAATACTTTTATCAATGATTAATATTTTACAACAGGTGCTTGGTAGCGGAGCACTTGGAACCCCACAGTGTGTATTTTTTATGACTGATCACAGTAATTATATATTTAATTGTGGTGAAAGCACTCAACGATTAAGTCAAGAACATGGCTGTAAACTATCCAAGATAGAAAATATATTTGTGACACATTTTTCTTGGAAAAATATTGGAGGTATTCCAGGTTTACTGCTAACAGTACAATCTAGTGGTACAACAGAAATAAATATTCATTGTCCTGAAGGAGTTCGCGATTTTATAGAAGCAGTTAAATCATTTGTATTCTTGCCAAAACTGAAAATTTCTTATTTCACAATTGATGAATCTGCAGAGTACAATGATTGTAGAATGAAAGTTTCATATGTTCCTATAACAAAATCTACAAAAAATATTAAAAAGCTTTCTTCAGATCTGGTTGATCAAGAACAATATTACACAAATGAAAATGACAAGAGAGTTATAAATGAAGAAACCGACAAAGAAAAAGTTAAAGAAGGAAAGAAATTGAAAAGCATTCCAAAAGTAATATGTTATATTTGCACTGTTCATTCAAGATCTGGGAAATTATTAATAGATAAGTGCATAAACTTTGGTGTACCACCTGGGCCACTTTTGGATAAGTTAAAGCAAGGAATGGATATTACTAAACCAGATGGATCTGTTGTTTATAGTAAAGATGTAGTGTCACCAGATATTCCTGAAACTACTTTCATAGGTAATTTTGAAAATATATAATCATACATAATCATGTCTTTAGTATATATACAATTAAATATTATTTCATGCATATCACATCATTAACTATCTCTAGCTTTTAATAATTTATATTTATAAATATAATTAAAACATATTTTTTAAAACAAACATAACCTTGGATTATATTTAATTGATATATTAAATTATTTTCTATTATTATATATTTCAATTATTATTGTTAAAAATTTTGTAGTTGTAGAATGTCCGACAGACGAATATTTGGATCCTATAGTGAATCATCCTGCTTTTTTAAAATATCAACAAACAGAAACAGAAGCAAACGAAAATAAAGTATTTTGCATATTTCATTGTACTTCTGACCAAATTTTTACCAATCAACGATATCAAGACTGGTTAAGAAAATTTTCTTCAAATACACAACATGTAATTGTAAATAGTGAAAATACTTGTATGGGCAGTGAAGCTGTTTACAAGAACCAGTCTTTATTAAACATGTTACACCCTGAAATATTTCCTTTGTTAAGTAAAGATCGTTTTGACAAAGATAAAGAGGTAAGTTATACTGGATGAATCAAAGAGATAATACAGGGTGAATCAAATAAAGTATTACAAATTATTTTCTCGGGATTTTCTCCAATTTTTTTTTTAATTCAATGATACTAAGAGGTTAGTTATATGGAAAATAAGTAACAATTCTGAGGTAAATAATAATGAGTCAAAGGGGATTAAAACCCTAAGTTTTTTTTTTAATGGAATATCGTATTAATTTTAAAAAAAACTTAGAAAAATGGGATTTTTGACTCACTACTGTTTATCTCAAAAATATCATTTTCCATATAATCAGTTCCTTAGTATCACTAAATTTAAAAAAAAAAGTTTGTTGCTAGCTGTTATAGTTTCCAAGAAAATTGTAATATTCTATTGACTCACCCTCTATATGAAAAAAATAAATCCTTGAAATTACGAGTTAATAGATCATGCATATTTTTTTAAAATTATTTTATCACTTATATATTGTTTTTGCTTGTACAACAACTAAATATTTTTAACTCTAACAATATTTTTCAAGAAAATAAGTAAAAAGTGTTCATTATGTATATTGTATACATAATATATTATAGTTATATTTGATATAGAATATATTTTAGATATATATTTTTGACAATTGTTACATTTGTATCATTATTATTACATTTTTTCTCGGAAATATATATTTAAATAATCTCGGTATAATTCTCTGAAAGTTAAAAATTATTTATTTACTCGTTTATTTAGCTTGTGAAATAATATATTAAGAATTTTACAAGATTAAATATTGCAAAATTTATTGCAGACTTTAAATGATAATATCTATCGTGCTAGAACGGGACAAGTGATAGAGATACGGCCAATGCCAAAACCTTTACAGAATGCTGAAATTTACAAGGATACGCAAATATATATTGACGATCTTCTACAACTTCCTGACTTTACGACTGTTTTAAAAGAATTAAAGGCTGTTATTAAGGAAAAATCAGTAGAACATAATTTAAATACTATTCCGGATTATCCACGAATTGTAATGTTAGGTACTGGCTGTAGTGTACCAAATAAAGTTAGAAATACAAGTGGTATTCTTTTACGTGTTAATAAGGATTGTAGCATTTTATTGGATTGTGGAGAAGGTACTCTTGGACAAATTATTAGGTTTTACGGGGTTTCGGAAGGTCTTAATATTTTACGTACTATTAAGGTATGTCTGTAGGTGAATTAAAGCAATTAACATTCAGTTTTACTCGTTTATTATCTTTATTATTGTTAATATTTTTTTAAGGCTATTTATGTATCACACATGCATGCAGATCACCATTTAGGATTCATTGGTTTGTTGTCTGTAAGAAAAAAAGTTACAGATGAAAAGTTGTACTTACTAGCGCCAAAAATTTTAACACCTTGGTATGAATTTTGTGATGATCAGTTTAATTCTATCAAAGAGCAATATATTTCTATAAACAATAACAATCTATACTTCCAACATCATAACTTATCATCAGTGTTAAAATCGATGATTTTCAAGAAATTAAATGTCAAAGACATAAGCACGATTTATGTCTTACACTGCAAGCAATCATATGGCGTTGCCATTACTCTTGAAGATAACAAAAAAATCGTTTATAGGTAAAATGAATAAAATACTTAATCTTAATTCTTAATCACAGACATTGAAAAGAAACATAAATGGTTCCTACCATTTCTATTAGACAGCATGTCTGTTGTTATGGGTTAGGTAAATTAATTATCACGTATTAACAATTTCATAAATAAAATCATGTTTTATTTCAGTGGTGATACTATATTTTGTCAACGTCTCATAGACTTGGGACAAAATTGTGATTTATTAATTCACGAAGCGACTATGGAGAATGGTCTTGAACAATTAGCATACAGCAAGTCACATTCAACGACATCTCAAGCGATAAAAGCTGGAAAATCTATGAATGCAAAATTTATCTTATTAACACATTTCAGTCAGCGTTACTCAAAAATTCCTTTTATTCCAGAAGAAAAAAATGTTGGACTTGCTTATGATAATATGGAATTTAAATTACCACAATTACCACTGTTGCCTCTTTTCTATCCGTGTATAAAAGTAATGTTTAGCGAATATAATAAAGTACTATCTAAATAAGTAATGCCTAATTAAAACACGGAAAACCTTCTAATACTCTGAAAATTTTAAGTGAAAAACATATTTGTTATCAACGTTACGTATAATAGGGTGTTTCACTTAAGACCGAACATGTAAATATTTTTATTTTTAATGATATGAGAAATGTTTCAAGCAAAGTATAAAACATTTTTATGATTTCATTTTTTTGAATTATTTTCAGATCACCACTTTTTTGTACTAGACAGTACGTGTCTCTTATTTTTCTTTTTTTTTCTCGATGAAGTATGAAAAATAACGACTAAAAAAGAACAACATTATAATTCATAATTTTTCCGTTTCAAATACATCGTCACCGAATGAACAAAGAAAATAAGTTCACAAATCATATTAACATTATTTCAGAATTTCATTATTTTTTCAACGTTCAGAATTATCTCGAGATCATAAGTTAGATGCAGAATTAAATTGAGAATACATTCTAACATCTCCTACATAATCCAATAGAAAAATATGTGAAAACAAAAATTCGAAAGAAATAATCGTAAAAAAAAATTTTATTATCCCTCCCCTCTGTATATTATATTTATCAATTTTACATATATAATTTTTTATATGTACAAAAATAGAATTTCTTTTTCGAAAAATAATATTTTATAATTTATAAATGACTATAGACTAATAAAATAAGAAAGAGCTATTTCTTTTATAGCTAGATACAGTTTCAAAAAATTCAATTCTTAAGTGGTATAAACGATATTCTCTTTCTGGAACCATCTAAACTGTATTTGATAAGAAAGAACAAGCACAACCATGTAAAATAATGGAGGACGTTTTGTTCCAGTTTGCTATATGTCAATAAATGGACAATAATTGCTTAAAGGTTGCAGTTTTCGAAAATGGTAATGTTAGAAAAATTTTAACAAATAAATGTTCAATAGCAGAATTTATTGCTTATATAATGCATTTAGTTTATCCCGGTTTCCTTAATATGATAAATAATGTAAATTACAAATAATATCGCTGAAATAACGACTTCGATGTCAACCTCGCTTCTGTATATATAAAAAAA